GCTTGGTTCCTTTGCTTCCCGTGTGTGCGCGGCTTCGCGCGGATGGCATTTTATGGATCCTTGGACTACCATAATCCAAGAGCAAAAATAGATTCTTTCACATCAGGGTGGACACCAAGGGTGCAACATATCAAAAAATTGCCACGTGGAGCCATGTACAAATTGAAAGGTCTAAAGCCTAATTTAGTATCTAGATGTCCGTAGGAAGGTTTCACTGATCTGGAAGCTACGGAAGACCATGTATCATTAAAATGTGACCCAATAACTCAAAAATGAACATTCTGGAGGTTTTAATTTTTGTATTACAGTGCCAGCATGCACCTCGGGCCCCCGCATGGGTAGATCAATCTGAAATCTAACTTTTTTCAAAATACGTGTGAGAGCTTTTAATAACTCCCCTTGGCCACCGAAGGCTCCGAATAGGCAGGGTATGACATCTAAACACCAAGATAGACATTAAAAATGTCTCGTGTTGGAATTAATGTCACTCCATGGTGAATTCACTTTGGTGGGAATAATTCGAGACAGGTCCTAGTTTCGTGCTCGAGGCGCATGCCAGACAGTCTGGACGGATGTCCTAGGCTACGGGAAGCTATAAATAGCCCTGTAGCACTCAAGTTGGGATCAACATATATGTCATCCAAAATTGATGCCAACACAGAGATCAACGTCAATATTATCATTTTCACCGTGCAAAAGAGCATTCAGCAAAATGATGTTTTCACTTAAAAGAAGAAATTAACAGTTTGATACATCAAGGTCACCTGGGTCGTTACTTACAAGAACAAGGTGATGGGAACCTGAGGAAAATCGTCGGGGTTATCGAATGAAAAATACAACTCAAAATAATCATATTTGAGTAGAAAACTAGTATATAATTTCTTAATTTTATTCTAGCGATATTTTTCATATTACTTTAAAAATTGTCATTCAGTGAAATTTTATTATTCCCTCACTAAAGGTTTTTTTTTGTGTAGAAAGTCCCACTCAGAACAAGCAACATGCAAGGTGTTCGTCCTTAACCCTAGAAGTCAAGCCCAAAAAGCAATACTCAATGGGAAGCTATCATGCCCCTGAAAGTCAAACTCAAGAGGCAAAACTCGATGGGAAGATACGGTACCCCTGGAAGTCCAGCCCAAGCGGCAAAACTCAATAGGAAGCTACCGTGACTCTAGAAGTCAAACCTAAGAAGCAAGTCTATATGGGAGATACAGTACCCTTGGAAATCGAGCCCAAGTGGCATGACTCAATGAGAAGCAGTCATGCCCCTGGAAGTCAAGCCCAAGAGGCAAGACTAAAGGGAATAAATGGTACCCTTAGAAGTCGAGCCCAAGAGGCAAGTATTATAAGGAAGCTACCATGCCACTAGAATTTAGGCCCAAGAGACACGACTTGATGGAAAGAGACGATACCCTTGATAGTTAAGCCCAAGAGAAAAGACTCAATGAGAAGCTACCATGCCTCTAGAAATCAAGTCCAAGAGGCAAAACTCAATGGGAGGATTTGATACCCCTAGAAGTTAAGCTTAGATGACAAGAATTGATGGGAAGCTACCATGGCCCTAGAAGTGAGCTCAAGAGGCAAGTCTCAATGGGAAGTTAGTAGTGGAAAGAGTCCTCACTAGAAAGACTTCAAAAGAGCACATAGTTGATAGGATCTCCACTCAAAGACCTCTGAAGGCTACAAATCTTAGAAGGAACAAGTCCATCAAAGAACTCAGAAGTCTATAAGCCTCATAAAGCACAGATACATCAAAGGCCTTAGAAAGCTACAAGCCTCAGAAGACACAGATACATATAACACTTCAGAAGGCTACAAGCTTCAAAAGACATCAATTCATTTCAAGCTCAAAGGCATAATTCTGAGAAGGCAGAAGCCTCAGAAGATATAGGCTTAAGAGTGAATAACCTTAGAAAGCACGAGCCTCAAAAGGTATGCTATTCTCTTTCACATAAAGTTCATGTGCTAACTTTGATTGCAGACCTTCACATGTTTGAGAAGCTATAGAACCTTAGAAGGCATAAACCTTAAAAGATGTCGACATCAACTACACCACCGAAGTGAGAAAGTGGCAGCCCAAAAGTTGGTTAACACCCCAGAAATGAGGCAAAAGCAACCTCAAAAGCGATGTCAGAATTTTTATTGCATCAAGCAAGTTAATGACATACAAAAAAACACCTTTTTTACTGTGTATAAATGTCATATCAAGCGATTGAAATGCTAAAAATTTAAAAATGCACAACACAAAGACAACAAGTCATACATCTTTAAATGGTGTCAGCATAGCCTCCTCAAAATCTAGTACTTCCACCAATTTCTAGGTGATAATTTTCTCCAGAAATCACATCAGCGGCATAGGAAAGAAAATTCTGGAGGTCATGCTAGGAAGGGTTGGAGATAACTTTCAGGATTACTTTCTTCTGCTTCTCTACGAGAGAATACCACGAAAGAAAATCCCAAAGGTCTTGCAAGGAAGGATCGAAGATAAATTTCAGGGGGCTTCTCCTACTTCTCTACAGGAGAAGGCTGTGAAAGAAAATCTTGGAGGTCATAATTGGCAAGGTCGGGGATAACTTCCAGGACAATAACTTTTAAAACGGGAAAGAAAAATTTAGAGGTCCTACTATGCAAGTTTGGGAATAACTTTCAAGACGGCTTTCTCCTACTTCTTCACAACAGAGGATGGAAATGAGAAAAAAAAATAAGATCATTTGTTTGGCAGGGATGAGGACAACTTTTTCTCTCTCTCCTCTCTTCTGCTGGGAAATCACAGATCACCTGCTAGGCAGGTACGTGAGCTCCATCTTTATTCGCATATCCATGACCTATTTATAGGCTCAAAAAGGATTCAGCCATTAAAGACTTCATATATTAAAAAAAACAAAAAATATAGAATTCTGCGACGTTAGTAAGCCTACCGCCATCCGCTTTCTCTCGCCAGACTGTCGTTTGTCTTCCATCTTTAGCTGTCATTCTGAGCACACAACTGATTAATGATGTTAATCACTAGAAGCTCTACGAATAAATGTGAATATTTGTTTAAATTTATAATCCTATGACCAGCCAACAAATGATGAAAATCATGCGCGCGCGCGTGCGTGCTTGTGTGTGTGTGAGAGATAAAAATAAAAAAAATTGTAAGCTCAATATCTTCATATTTTAGAATGATGAAGTTGGTCCTGCCCAAAAATGGGATTAACTGATATGCCACCAATAAATTACCAACATACATCACAAATCTCAAGATGAAAATCATGTGTGTGTGTGTGTGTGTGATAAAAATAAAAAGTTGTAAGCTCAATATCTTGATATTTTAGGATGATGAAGTTGGTCTTGCCCAAAAATGGGGGGTAATTGATATGTCACCAATAAATTACCAACATACAACACAAATCTCGAGATATGATAGATTTCAAGACAATCTTTTGAGCAAGAAACGACATAAAGTTTGAAGCTTGGAGATCACTTCATCATGGTTGCCAGTCACCGAACGCAACGTACCACTAATCATCGACCTTCGCCGAACGCCGCTGATCATCATTGATCACCATCTACTTCTTACGACTAGTTCATTTGTACACCGACTTTATTGTTGGAAAGATTGTGTAATATTTTTACTGCCTGTGAGACAAAGGACCGTACGTTATCTCCACTGGTTGTTTTCTTTCATTTCAACGTGCGTTGAATTCTCATGCAATACTAAGATATTTGTTTCTCTACCGACATAAATCTTCTAGCACACAACACTAATTATGCCCAATAAAAATACTATATATATATAATTTTTGGCATCATATACATTAATAGTGAAGCTCTATTATAGATCACTGATCTGTTGAAAAAAAAATAAAACAACTAAACCACTCTAAAAAAGCCTTTTTTTTTTTTTTTTGTTTGATATGCTTAAAACAACAAGACTTTTCGGTGTATATTAACAAGACCTTTCGGTGTAGATTAAAATGTCCAACCAAAGAACCACCATTTCATCCGCCAAAACTTTCTTCCATTGTCCAAATTTTCTCACAGTCACCAAACGCAACGTACCACTGATCGACCTTCGCCGAACGCCGCTGATCATCATTGATCACCATCTACTTCTTACGACTAGTTCATTTGTACACCGACTTTATTGTTGGAAAGATTGTGTAATATTTTTACTGCCTGTGAGACAAAGAACCATACGTTATCTCCACTGGTTGTTTTCTTTCATTTCAACGTGCGTTGAATTCTCATGCAATACTAAGATATTTGTTTCTCTACCAACATAAATCTTCTAGCACACAACACTAATTAAGCCCGATAAAAATACTATATATATATAATTTTTGCATCATATACATTAATAGTGAAGCTCTATTATAGATCACTAATCTGTTGAAAACAAAATTAAACAACTAAACCACTCTAAAAAAGCCTTTTTTTTTTTTTTTTGATTGATAAGCTTAAAACAACAAGACCTTTCGGTGTAGATTAAAATGCCCAACCAAAGAACCACTATTTCATCCGCCAAAACTTTCTTCCATTGTCCAAATTTTCTAAAAATTGATAATAAAATAAACAAACTCAGGCCCATAGTAAATTATAAGAAATTGGCTCTCTAGGATCAAAAAAATGGGCATTTTCATACCTACAATACATACCATATAAACATCAAGTTCTAGGCATTGGCCGGTACGTCTGTAATTCCTTTCTAAAAAAACATGATTTTTTTATCAAATCAAACGACTAACTTTATAGAAAACAATGTAAATATACAACAAATCCTAACTCAAAAAGTTTAGGACTCGAGCCTCACACATCCTAACAAAATGGATAAAAAAATCCACAGAAACACGTTAAATAATCCTATGATTCTTTCAAATACAAAGCCAAACTTCAGAAAAATTTCATTCAGAACTTCAGACATGATCAGATCCAACATATTCTAAAATCATCCTAATTCGAACAATGTAACATTTGATACAATCGTGCATCAATAATAATTTCGCAATCAAAACAATTGCTTGTTCATCATGATTACAACAGCAGCAAAAGAACAACAATTTTATGTTACAAGTTAAGAGCTACAAAGTCAAATAATAATAAAATTAATATTAAATTAAAACAAAATTGATGGGTTGCATCTTCTAAAATAAGATTATTGGGCTACAAGTACAAGGAAGCAGCAAAAACTATATCACGCTTGATCTTCATGACAGCCTCCTGGAACTTATCTTCCAGTTGGGTTTCTCCGATTGATTTGGCCGCAGAAGTCAGCTGCTGCAGAATCTCCTCAAGCCTTCTGATGGCTCTAATCAAACTACCTTCAAAGACTGAGGACAGCTCCATTATCTCGAAGAACTTTGATCCCTTCGCCCAAGCATAAACAGCTTCCATGATATCCGGGCGAAAGGAATTCACAAAACTTTCAACGTCTATCTGCACCTGTATGGCGTTAATTCCTTTCAGATTTTGCTTTATGAGAAGTTTTAGGTAGTTGCAGCTGTTTGTAAAACCATTCTTGAGAGATTACGTAAAAAATACTTTCTTTTTTAAGTTGATGTGGGTATATAATATAATTTTTTGGTCATTAAATAAAAACAAATAATAACTCTCAGGCAGTTATTGAGTTCTTAACAGGTATGATTGTAAAAAGCTACATTTTACAACAGAAATGTCTGAAAAACAACAGCAAATTTGTAGCCAACTAAAAGTGTGATAGCAGTCTGAAAAACAAGTGGCATTTACATACATACCCCACACTAAACTCCACTTCTTATTTATAACACCCATATCTTTTGTATCACATCAAAAGATATCACTATTTTACAATTTAAAAAGTGAAATGCACATTTTCATGCTTAGAAAAATAAATAAATGCACATTTCTAAGAAAATTAAATAAATATAGTTGAACAACACTCATTTTGAATTAAAATGAGATCATGATAGAATGTTTCACTTGTTATCAGGAATTTCAAGACAGACAAATTTTCATTTCAAAAATTTAGGAATCAGAAGAAAGAAAATTTAAAAGAGGTACCTTGCAATCTAATTGCACATTGGCAACTCTCCGTGCTGTTTCTTGTAGCTGGGAGAAAAGAGAGTCCAGTTCTTCCCTTGGTTTTGGACCATCCTGGAGCTTCTCCTGCCAAACAAAACATGCGAGAAGAGCCACCATTTCCTCAATACTCATATCCTTAAATGAACCACTCAGCATAAGCTCAGTTAGCGTCAATTCATCAGCAGAGCTAATCTCACAAGCAACTTGACCTTTCACCCCTACAACATCCTCTCTAGTAATGTACCTGAATCCAATTAAATATTCAATATTGAATCAAATGTATCACCTAAAAAGATTTTGCCCAATAGTATTTTTTGAATGAAACGGCACATAATAGACATTTTTGTAAGAATAAAAATGGACAAAATACAAAGAAACATTACCCTAATCTTCGTAGAACCCTTTTGCGTGCCTTGAGCTCGTCTTTGAAGGCCAAGGCAGTGGAAGAACGCATTGATTTCTTGACTGACTTGATCTTCGCTGATAATTCCAGTTTATCGTGAAATACTTGCAGGTTTTGCTGAATAAGTGGAGAATTTCGGATTTCATGTTTTTCAAATAGTCTATCTAGGGCCTCTATCCTTCTGACAGCTTTTCTATACGAGTTACTTTGTACCTGGAAACATATAACTGTTAGGAATGACAATTTATGAGAACAAAACACACAAATAAACAAAGAAAAACTTACTTTCATATCTTCTTCAGGATCTAAAAGGGGAATCCCATCCTTCATGAATCTGGAATGGACTTCCGTCAGAATCTTGAGCATGTTCTCTCGAGCTTCTAACGGTATGAGATCTTTGGGTATGTAAAGACGAACAATGCTCAAACTATCAATCTGAAGGACAAATAGACAAGCTGATCATTTGAATAGATTAAAAGATAATAACTAAAAGGGAGATTTATATGCATATCATTCAATTCCTATGTATTTACACATCTAACACAAAGTTTAATAGTGGTATTTTGATGTGATATGAAATATTTGAGTTGTATAAATGTAAGAAGTAAAGTTTAGGGTTTACATATGTAAATATGTAGGAATTAAGTGGTATATATGTAAGTGCCCCTAACTACAAACTAGCTGCAAATTCTCCAGAAAAGCATGTGTAGAAGGCCATTTCTTAACTTCCAGCTTGATTCCTTCCCATTACAGTAAATTAAAAATAAATAAATAAATCGAGGGCGTTGCAGATTATTAGATAGTTGGAGTCAAAGCTTTGACCCCTTAACAATACTTGATCTATCCTGGTTGGGTCTCCGTAATTTTCCCTCTCAACAAAACCCCCAAGATTTCAAAAACAATTTTTATTATCTTTTATGGGCATTATCATAAAAAACTGGTAGACATACAAAATGTATGTAAATGTTTCCTAAAGCTTAAATGGCCTGCATGAAGTTTTCAGATAAATAGGGATCCAGATGTTAAATCGAGAAAAACTTAACAATAAATGTAAGCAAACGAAACTCACTGGAAAAGGTCAAAATTGAATGTGAACAATCATTACCTGTGAAAGAGGCACCGATACCACAACAGGCTCTCCCTGCTCTTTTAAATGAACAATTTTAACAGACTTCTTTGTTCCTGCTTCTTTAAAAACCACACATCTCGTCAAGACATCAACTTTGTACTGTAAATCTTCAGGCCTTTTATCCACAGCTGGCAAAAAAAGGCACAATTAAACCACAGAACTCCATACAAGTTAAACAATATCGCTTACCTTCATCTGGGCTGTTGAGCTTTTGGAAATTGATTATTATCCCCCATGTAACTTGTTCTTGTTTGAGGAATGTGGGCCTTCTGTCATTACTATCGTACAAGAGAGACACTAGCCGGCCAGGTTGCAAGTATGGTAGACAATACTTCGGAGAAAACACTATATTATGGACATCCTTCTTCAGACTTGTATATTGTTGCAATAGATTGTAGTAGTCCTTCAAGCTATCCTCCTCTTCTATGACAATAGAGTCCCTCTCTCTTATCAATTTCTTCTCTTGTTTCTGTAAATGATGTTCACGATATGATCAGTAAATAAGAAACTAAAAGGAGTGGTAGTTAAAGTCTCAAATTTTAATCTTTTATTTTTTGGGCATTTACATAGCACAGAATTCTTATTCATTTGCATATATCACACCTAAAATTTCATATTTACACACATAGCACTCAAATCTTTAATATCACATTAAAAATAGCACTATTACCATTTTTTTAAAGTGAAATAAACATTTTCATGCAGAAGTCTGAAGCAACAAGTGCTATGTATCTAAATATGAAGGTTGAGGTTTGAGATATGTAAATACGTAAGATTGTGTGCTACATATGTAAATTTCCCTTTTTCCATATTGATAAAGCAATCTTTTTCATGGTGCTTCATTTTACAGGGATATATTTTCCAAAATATGAACAGTTTATTACAGTTGGCAGATATCTAATCAGTGAAACAAACAAAAGCTAATGAAATTTAACTCCTATCAACCAACCTCGAGATCAGGAAGAGCCCGGTCAGCTTGAAACTGATAGAATGAATGTCGAAGAAGCTTCTCTGGATCACCATCTTCACAGCGTAATTGATTTAATAGCATATTGTAGCTCAAGTGAAAGGCGCTGGTATGAGTTGATAATGTAAGAAAAGAGCGTTCCCAAAAAATCACAGATAATATATTTAGAGGAGAAAATATATATTGGACTATTTAATAAAATCATTGCGTTAAGTGAATGGGGAGGTGGTACTGGGCAAGGAAAAAAAAAACAGTGAAAATTGTGGACAGCTAAAAAGAAAAAAATAGAAATTTAGAAAACATGGTAAAAATGAAACAATACAGCACAAGGGTATAACAAAAATTAAAAAACACAGTAAGAAGCACAATTTCAATATAATAATATCAAGGACAAGAGAAAGTTAACCTGCAGGTATAAACGAATTCAAGCATAAAAAACAAAAAAGAATTACCTATTTAAGAAATCAGCACTTCCTTTCAACATCATTTTTGCAGTCGAAGGCTCCATTTTTTCATCTACCATCAAAATGCAAATACCACGCTGATCAATACCTCGACGGCCAGCACGACCACTCATTTGAATATACTCCCCACTGGATAACCATCTGAATTTATCCCCATCAAATTTACGAACATTCGTGAACACAACAGTTTTTGCAGGCATATTCAAACCAATACTGAAGGTCTCTGTAGCAAACAAACACTAAAGTGGAAATTATAATCACCCATCAATATCCTCAACCCCATGAAAAATAGATTACTCAAAAATCAATATATTTACATAACCAGATTGGGAAGAAATAAGAGGTAACTACAGGAGATATCTAATCAACATTTTCAATACCAATAAAAGAAGGCATCATTACAAGAGAACATAAAAGGAGTTAGAGAGAAGCTGGACAAAGGTTATGCGAGAAGTTCCAAATATATCTACTAAACAAAACAGAGGTAAAAATCGCATTTCATTAGTGAAGGAAAAAATGTTTATTTATCAAATTTAATTGTTCCTTAGAAAATGACTAGTTTTTCAAGTAAAACATCGGCCACAAAAAACCAAGGCAGACAAAGATTTGAGAAGTTTTAAGATCCATCACAATTGATAAACTCGAAACTGAAACATCCTGATTTTGATGAATCCATTAAAGAAACTTAAATAGATCAGTTATCAGTAATGGATACAAAAAACTAATATACTATGTTCCATCAATTTTGAATGACCAAGAAAATATAACTATAGGTTTCTGACTTTTCAACAAGCTCAACGGAATTAAATTGAAGCCCCACCATGTTTATCTAATCGAGAAATAATCAAAACAAAATACCAGCGATCAATTAGCAAATTTCTTAAACAAAGCTTTGAACTCCGCTATAGCTAGCTACTCAGAATATTAAAAGTATCAACTAATACCCACCTGTCAGGGATGTTATTATGAAAAAAACACTGTAAACAACAGCTAATATCGGAGACATTAACTAGATTAAAACCATTGAGAAAAAGCATATCAGAATTCAAATTTTTAGACGAGCAATATTTGATGAAGACAAAATTTGCTAGAATATGACTTTCAAGTCCGAAGAAAGTACTTGGCAAAACATATGCGTACCTTGATTAGGCCTTCTTGAAAAAGTATCTCGATTACTTCCTTCAGAATAGGAAGAAGACCAGAATGGTGCACGCCGATACCCCGTTTTAACAAGGGTAGAATGTTGGAAACCTGAAAAAAAAAACATAAAGTAGAATAAGCTGTTAAATTTAAATTTCATTAAAAGATTGTGCATTAGCCAGCAAACAATAGTATAACCAATATAAAGCCAAGATAAAGATGCAAATGAATAGGAGAAAATTTAAAAATAAAAAAAAAACACATGATACTAACAAAAAGGGAAACAAAATTCATACTATAATCCTATTACAACAAAAAAAAGGATGTTGGAACATTAATGACCAATACCTTCGTCTCCGTCCATCTGATATACCTTTGTACGAGAAAATTAGAAATATTGGAAAAAGCATCAATATAATATTGAACCTTAGTGATTAATCAAAAGTTCCAAAAATCTGAGGCTAAAACGGGGAAAAAAAGGAACCCAGTATTGACGCAATAGAATAAAAAATTGAACAGCTGCATTAAAAAATTCATTTAAAAAAAGACCAAGCAAACCTGAAAAAACAAAAAAGAAACAGCACTTCAAGCGTGAAAAATATGTATAGGCTTGCCACAAAATCAGAAATGATAGAAGACTCCAAATTAATTGATCAGGGAGGCACTCATAAAATTAGACTTCATAAGTGTGAATGAAAAAAATAAATCTGAACCTTCTATACTAGAAAACTTGATGATAGGCAACCGAATTAGAGGATATTTTCTATAATAGAGTTATTCCTAATCTAGAGAGCTGGGAATGTGTATAAATATGTAATATATATTTTCAATTTGGAACAAGAGAAAAGATGAAGCATTCCCATCACAAGGTATGAGAGCATCGACAGATAGTTTTATTTATGGTTACTTTGTTCGATCGACACACATGGCATCTTCTGCTTCAAAACAAATGACACCTTCAGTATCGTCATCAGCATCCCTAGATGTTTTCAGCTTCGTCATACAATGTTAGGCATCATCGTTCGTTTCTTCGGTTTCATTCGAAGGCTGTCTTCTTTGAATGACATCTGCAAGGCTTCAAACGAAGCCATAACCTTCTCCCTGCAGTGTCTACAACGCTTTGTCCAAACTATAGTCATTGTTCCGTTCCTTGGTAACATTTGATGGCTTCGTCTGCTTCAAGCAACGTCTGCAAGGGCATCGAAGACCTCATCTGCTTCGTTCAAAGATTTCATTTGAATGCTTCATTTGCATAAGCTTCATCTGATATCTATGACAATGAGATTAGGGCATCAAAAAAGCTGACCTCTATGTTGGTCGTTCTATCTGCTTTGGGCTTCTTCGGCTTGGTTGGCAACTTTTTTCTGCTTTTTTATTTGACCATTACAGTTAGTCGTCGAGTTATTTGTCTCCTAGTTCTTTGGTCGCTACTTCAGCTCGAAGAAAAAATTCAAACTAGTGAGTAATTTTCTGCACGTTATTATTATGCTGAATAAATTTAATTGGATATCAAATACAACTCACTTGCCTGCATCATGAAATGCATGTGCCACTTAACTAAGTCATAAAAATGTTTGGAAGAGAGAAAAAATGCAATGCCATAAACCATAAAAGTGACCAAAAAATCAGACGATTGAAATTTTAATAGTATGAAGACCAAGCCAAGCAAAAACGAATTGAATGCATAATAATGGAATTGTTTCAAGTAAAATGAAATTAAAACTTGAGGCCATTTCAAGGAAATGACTTTGCATGCAATAAAAGATAGTCAGCAGAAAAAGTAGTTACAAGTAGAGAGAAGTAAAGGGAGAACATATCTAAAAAAAGGCATTCATAATAAATGAGATTAACTTGCCTGGGGAAGCTTCTTTTCATCATCAGAAAGTAAATCCATTGCACTCCAGAAGATGGTTTCTATATTAGTTTTCTCTTGGTCATCATTCAAATCCATTTTTGCCATCTAAATACAAAGATAAGAGCAACAAAAATTCGATTAATACTTGACAAAAAAAAGGTCCAATTCCAAATAAATAGCCCTAAAACAACATCAAATACAGAAGTGAAAAAAATATATACATACCAAAAAGGCCACGAAGATTCTAACTTAGTTTGATTCATCATTTTTCCCAAATAGCATCAATATTGAGTTACAACAACAACAACAAACATTTATTCCACTGAATGGGTTCAGCTACACGAATACTTTTTCTCCATCGTGACCTATTGAGAGTCATAATTTCATTTAATTCTAATAAATTAAGATCATTTTTTATACAATATGCCCTAGCCTTTTTATGTCTGCCTTTACCTTTCTTAAGATAAGTCAAATCTAAAATGTCTCCTAACCAGATAATCACATAGTCGATGTTTAATGTGACCAAACCCTTTAAGACGGCTCCCTCTAATATTGTCTACCACTACACCAACCCTTTTACAACTACATTCATTTTATATTTTGTCTCTAAGTGTCAAACCACTCATGCCCCTAAGCATTCTCATCACAGCAAAACTTAACTTGGTTTAAAGCTTCTCTTTTAAAGGCCAACATTCTGCGCCATAGAGCATTGTAGGTCTCACCACCATCTTATAAAATTTTCCTTTTAATTCTAAGCGGTACTTTTTCTATCACACAGTGGTCCCGATAAATTCTCCACTTCAACCAAACTACTTGAGTTCTATTAGTAACAACCCCATCTATATCACCACCACTTTAAACAATATACCGAGGATATCTAAAATGTTTGCACCTTTTAATAATTTGATCACTCATAATTACAACTCTGCCATTAGATCTAATACTATTAAAATTACATTCCATGTATTTAGTTTTAAATCTACTCAAACGAAGGCCTTTAGAATCTGATATAGACCTCCATAATCCAAATTTTCCTGAACTCTTTCTCTGGTCTTATCGACAAGAAGAATATCATCAGGAAAAAGCATATACCAAGGTACATCCTCCTATAAATTTCTAGTGAGAGCATCCATAATTAAAGCAAAAAGATATTGGCTTAAAGCCAATCCCTTATGTAATCCAACTGAAATAGGAAAACATTTGATCAATCCTCCTATTCAAACACAACTAACATCTCTAGCATACACAACTTTAATGACTTGAATATAAGACATCAACATCTTTCTTTTCTAGAACTCTCCAAAGAAATTTTCTTGGAATCTAATCGTAAGCTTTTTCTAAATCAATAAAAATCATATGTAAATCCACCTTACTATCTTTGTACTTCTCCAACAAACCTCTCAATAAATATATAGCTTTCATAGAAGACATGTCTTGATTATGAGAAATTTTTATATCACGTTTTAACCTATGTTCAATTACTCTCCCTCATAATTTTAATGCATGATACATTAACTTATTCCTCTATAATTTACACACTGTTGTGCATCCCTTTTATTCTTAAAAATAGGGACGGAAATACTCTTCCTCCACTTCTCAGACATTTTTTTAGTTTTTAAAATAATATTTAAGAGTTTAGCAAACCAAGAAACTCTCAAATCTCCAAAATATTTCCACACTTCAATTGAGATATCGTCAGGTCCTACTGATTTTTTACCTTTGGTTTTCTTTAAAGTCTCCTCAACTTCCTTTTACTAATACTACAGTAAAAATAAAATTATTATTATTATTATTATTATTATTAAAATCATTAAGGTCGATAGTATTTTCGGAAACATCATTGAAAAGTTTATCAAAATATCTATCAATATTCGATATGTAATAAACTTAGGACCAGATACATAACTTGGGAAAATTTAAATCATATAATATGCTAAATTGCAATGGACTAACTTTCTAAAGTGATAAGAAATATTTCAAACAAAGTGTAGATATTATTTTCCTTGTACAAAGCAATATAAAATTTTGGGTAAGGAAAACTGAATACTGGAGAAAAAATAAGAAAGAAAAAAAAATGGCTGACTAGGAAACAAGGGAATAAAAAACCAAATTACATATCAATAGCATTCTGAGCACAAAAAACAGAAGATGAACTCCAAACACAGCTTGAAAGAGGCCTGCACACTAAGGATGAATCTGACAAACATCTGAGAGGAGGCACAAGCAGCACACAATCCAGTAAGAACTCTCTCTCCACTCGAGATAGTAAATCTTTGATTACAATTACTCAGCCTAACTACAGAAAAAGGCCCCCAAATGCTCCAAATGACAAAAAGAAATAGTTAAGGGACTTGTACGTCCTAAAACGATATATTGAACCATAAAAAATGACATAGACACCATGGACAAAACCTAAATTGATTGAAGCCCTTTGAATCCAATAATAAAATATGCAGCAAACCATTATACAGCAATAAGGCGGATAAAGATTCTGAAAATGTCATTCTATAATAGGAGCTGCACCTAGTTTCTTGTGCAATAATTTAGAGCAACTCATTCATTTCCTTTCAACTTAAAAGACAAATATGTGGATCCTATATGCAAAGATAATTTTCACGACTAAACCAAATCAGATAAAATAATGCCGGATTCCAGGTTATCTTAAACAACAGAAATCTTTGAATTTTTCAACAAGCCAAATTACATGGTTTTGATATTTCACGTCAACTAGAATAAGAGGGTCTAAAGAGACAAATCAGGACCTTCAGTTTAATATATCAGCTAGGCAGAGCACTTCACAAACAAATTAAAATGAAAAAGTTCTAATTTTACCTGCATTGCAAGGAATTCACACTCTCTCTTGCTAAAGCAGAACAATATAACAGGATCATACTGGCGCTGAATTAACATTTTCACCAGCTTAAAAATGTCACTTTCCTCACTGGGTTTTCCTTCCAGCAATGCCTTCTGCAATTTCGCAAAATCCCTTTTTCTATTCCCTTCTTTAGCAGGAACGAGAGCATTCAAAGCTTTCTGAAAACTGTCCTCACGAAACTTTCCATTCTCATCAACCACCAAATATAAACCATCCCCTCCAGAAGGGAAAATGTAATGTTGAAGGGGTGTTGGTCGATAATCTGTGTAAACTATGTGACAGGGCTGATGATGGATCTGATTTAAGATATGGAGATAAATAAATAAATAAATAAGCAATTTTAGTAAAATAAAACAAAGATATACTGAGCATAAAAATTAAGTAATCATGCAACTTTAAGTGTATCACAAACATAGAAATTAATGCATGTTCATACAATGGTGGACTTCAAAGTTTTCAAGCCATCATTTTTTTATAAAAACACACAAGATTCCACAGAAACAATCTAGGAAAAATAGGAACCAGCAAGCAAAGTAGAATGAAGAACCTTTGCAACCCAATCAGCGAATTCCTTGGCATTAGGCACCGTAGCTGAAAGGAAAACGAAACGAGAGTTCTTGGGAGCCATAACAATACTTTCTTCCCACACAACACCTCTTTCCCATCAAATATGATCCAGGCCACCTCCCGCATTATCTCTGACCCTTTGTACTGCATGCTTCTCCAAATCTCAGTGGTCATTACCTATATATTTTATACTTAAATTTAATAAATGAATAAATAATGTAATTTTTGTAACAAAAGTCAAACTCCCACTATTAGGAGAACGGTATTCTAATCTGGGAGCTTCGGGAGTCCAAGTATTGTGGTAATTCATGGGAAAAAAAAAAGAAAATTTGTTAACCTACCAGACAAGAGGCGTTAGGCTCAATGGTGACATCACCTGTCATGAGGCCAACATCAGAAAACTCCTCCTTAAACTCCCTGTATTTCTGGTTGCTAAGAGCCTTGATTGGAGAGGTGTAAATAACCCGTTGTTGGTTTCTCAGTGACATGGCGATAGCATATAATGCAACAACAGTTTTTCCAGCTGATGTATGTGCAGATACCTATAGAAAGAATTGGCAAAAACTAAATCACTGCAATAAATAGAAGCCAGTTGATTAATACCATAAGAAAGAATCATATATTTCAAAGATACAAAGTGTTATTAATATAGAACATCGAGCTAATTTTGAAGGCCCTATTAGAAGATTATAATTAAGTCCTCAATATGGAATCAATAGTTAAGATATCATCATCAAGAACTCATTGAATAAAAACATTAATATTTAATTAAGAAAATAATAATAATTAAAATTAAAACTCAAAATTTTAGACGAAAAAATTTAATTTTCAGCATTTAATTTATAATTTTGTATGGACCACTTTGAATTTAATTTTAGTTTATTTAAATAGATTTAAGCTTGATTAGAACTTCTTTGGGCTAGCCTCGCCAGGTGAGCAGAGACAGTTGGAGAATTTGTGGTTCCACTTGAATTGTTAACTTAGATTTAATTTCTCTCCCTTTTTTTTTTAAATTTGAATTACAAAACATGATGTAACAACTTAGATATTATCGGAATGAATGAGAAAATATGTTTTGATGTTATGATAAAAATTGGAAAGTGGATATATGAAGTTGAGAGTTTAGTGGTTAACCCCTTCCTTTTAGGGTTCTTTCTTGGTCAAATATCCAAGTACCTCTTTTATACTTGATCAACCCTTAAAATTTTTCATAGGATTTTCTCCATCTTGCTTATATCACACAAACCTACAACCTAAAAAAAGATTCCTAAACCCCCCTTGAAACTGAAGGCCATAAGTTGGGATTTTTTAACCTAATTTTGGTTCCTCCTCCTCCATCACCCCTATAAAACCATTGATCCCTGCCATCTACTCCAAATCCAACCTCCACATATTCCTGTAACATTCCATAGCATTTCCAAAACTTTAATGCACCCTAAGGCCCTTCGACTAACTCAATGTCCCGAGACTAGCCAAATTAGTCCAAACTAGGTCATCTTGACTTGTTCTTGATTTTTCTTCCATCCTTTAGCCTCTAAACCACTTGAAATTTCACAAACATTCCAGATCACCTATAAAATAATTACTTTGCTGTTTCAAGTGGTTTCATTCCTCGAATACTCAACCGATCGAAATCCTAGATCCAGGTACCCAATAAGAGCCTAATAATTGGCATATCCTAACCACTTATTTGGCCCCTTCCTTCCAATCACTATCTCAAATAAAATTATTCCAACTATTAAAAAGTATCTTGCACATCCTTAGGCCCCACCACAGCAAACGAAAGACTTAAATCACCTCTTCCAATGCTAAAGTCAACTTAGGTATCAAAGCAAAGACCTGAAAATTGGTAATTCTAAAACAACGAGCATTTGGAGGGTTGGGATTTAACATTTGGTATTTATAATTGGCAGGTCCATCATCCACCAAGGATTGATTGCTGGCCTTAGACTCGATTAATTTCCATTTTTTTTTTCTTTAATAAAATCAACGAAGAACATAAGCCACTAAAAATCCAACCCACCTCTGGTATCTGCACAACACACCACCTTGATTTTGAGGATGATGAGCCTGACAAACCCCTAGAGAAGATTGATCCCGTAGTAGGCTATCTTCTTGTAGGAAAGAGGATATAGGTTATCACAAAATAGACGTGCTAAACACTTTAATGATCCTCTAGGAGGATTAAATGAGGTATTTTCCTATGATTAAATAGATAATTCAGGCAATCATTTGGATTGGGTAATATAAATGAATGAGTTTTTTGTCATATAAGGATTATGATCAAAGGGTCACTTCTACTAATATAAAGCTCACTAGTCATGTAAGAATATAATGGATCAACATCTTAGCAAAAGAGTAAAGATTAAAAAGGGAGAACCTAGGAAATGATGAAAATGCCTAAAACCATTGTCCAAGACACCATAACAAGAAACAATATGGGTCATTTTTAATACTAAGATGGGCACCATTCAGCTCATTATCTCCACTCTTTTAAAAATCTAGCTTCTAGGATTAACTAGGAGATAATGATTGGCAACTAGCCAATAGATTTATAATTAATTTTATGTTTTTTTTTATCATTAATTTTATGGTTGATTTTAATAATTAGGTAGAGATGCTTGACTCCTAGAGGATGCGTTCAACCATGCTCACATGGTGAATAAAATAAAAAAATGTTGTCATTCTCCTGGCAATAGGTCTGCTATTAGACCTCACCTCACAATTAAGGGCACGAAGAATAATAAACTCCAAATTAATGGAATTTTAAGAATATTAAAGAGACCACATGCTTCAAGTGCCATAAGCAGGCTCATAGGCAAAAATTATTGTGAGGCTCAAATCCCATTTCTATGTGAGTTTGATTTAAGTGAGTAGGATGATAATAAGAGAGTTTTGGATGAGGCGCCATATCTAAAAAAGAAAATCAAGCAAAAGTATACCAACCATAGAGTTATTAATTGCTTAGTTATTTCTAAGAGTAAGACAAATGATTGGAGAAAAACATTTCTCTATGCATATGTTGTGTAAAAAGAAAAAAAAATTAAGACTTCCTATTGAAGGTGTAAGTGTCATTAATGTGTTATACATCCATAAACTAGCAAGGACTATACTCAAGGCGATACCACATGCTAAAGCCTTCCAATGGAGCTTGCCTTGCCCAACTGAATGAACCATATGACCCTCACGATCATCAATAAGTGAAAGTTATGAAAATAAAATTTGGTGAAATTTGCTCCCTATAAAAATAGCATGCATGATTTTGAGTCGACCTTGATTATGTAATATGAATATCATTGACTACATAAGAGAGAATACTTGATGTGGCACATAGAGGTGACCCAACTAATCGATCCAAATCTAGGGCAATCAAGCTTGAGAGGACTTTTTCCATTATGTTATGCAGTATTTAGTTTCCTAACATCATGTGCTTTTTTGTATGTTTTTTGGTAAAATAAGTGTATTATTATGTTGAAGTCAAAAATTTGTTAATGTGGTGTTGACCTTGCTTATGTGGAATCAAGGTACGCTTATGTGGAGTCAAGGTACGCTTATGTGGAGTCAAGGTACGCTTATGTGATTTTATGTGGCATTGACTTGATCAATACATGAAAGGAAAATTTCGACCAAGGTGGTTTGGGTTGATTCCAAGAGAGGGTCAGCCACTCCCTCTCCTTGAGCAGTTACCTTAGCAATTAAGAGGTGTGATGAAAGAGTCTTCCGCATTGTATTTGAACTCTTCCTTTCTCTGAAATGAAACAATATACATTGATTGTGTACTGTGAACTCTTGGATGAAGAATTCTCCATTGGCTTGAGCTGTGGTGGCCAGCCACCAACCAAGGGATTTAGTAATGACTATAAATTTTCATTTTCCTGCATTTCTTTCATGTAAATCTTGTGTTATTTGTGTTAGTAGTGTTGTATACTTTACGTTCCAAAAAAAAACTACAAAATCTTGTGTTTTCTCACTTTATTTTTTTGTTTTAAGTGAGAATCCTTAAATTTATTTTTCTATGGAAAACATGCACCAATTTTCATTTGTCAAATTTAACCAACCAAATCATCTCCAAAAATTTTGAATTTGGTATCATTTTGTCCATCTCTTTCCTACTATAAAAATACAAAACAATATATGTAATGTTATTTTAAAGTTATTAAGGAATTGTTAGCCCAAATAAAATCCTAGTTTTTATACCTTGTGTTTCCTGATACTGCTTTTCCAAGTTTCATGTATCCAAATTCATATCCACAATGGTCCAAACCCAACAAAACTCTCATAATCTGTTTCTACTACAATCTCTACTTTAAATTACAAATTCCCATTCCTCGACAAAAAAGATCTAGCCAATTGCCCAAACTTGGTCACCTCTAGACAAGACTGGCCAATATATCTAGTTTCTCTATATCAAATCACACACAAAATTTACCAAAATTTCCTAATCAGTAGTTCCACCCTACAATTCAAGTACTTATTTGCATGATTTTGAGGTCTGTAGAGAATATTCTGCATGTTTAAAATAAGACTTCCAGATTACTGAAAAAACCAGGAATAAACTCTAATTCCACTTTTACCACTCTCAATTGCACCTTGATACCAAGAACGATGGAGTATGGAATGAGTTCATTTTGTTTGTCGAGGATCAAGATCACTAAGAAGTAATCAACGTGGACTCAATCTCCTTCAAAAATCAAAAGATCAAATTTTGGTAGAGGGGCTCAATTGAAAGTGATAACAGTGAAATTATGTTTTGTCCAGCAACTGAAAGTCTCACTTCAAACACGTAGAACTTTCTTTAAAAACCTGAAAATAATACAAAACAAGTACTTGAATTATAAGACAGGGTGTTAACTACTGATCTGGAAAGATTGGTAATTTTTTTAGATGATTTGGTGGATTAACTTGGACAAATAGCAGACGGGTGCACGTTTTTCAGAGAAAAATAGATATAAGGATTCTCACTTGGAACAACAAACAAAGAGATAAACACAAGTTTTTAAAAGTTTGTTTGGCATAAAGTAGACAATACTACTAACACAAACAACACAAGATTTACATGAAAGAAGCACACATAAATGAAAATTCCTACTCACTAAAGCAATTTCAAGGGCATCAAATCATTTTTGTGGCCTACCACCATACCACAAGCCAATGGAGAATTCTTCATCCAAGAGTTCACAGAATCAACCAATAGTATTTTATTTCAGAGAAAAGAAGAGTTCAACTAAACATCTTTTCAACACACATCTTCACTACTAAGGTAACTATCCAATGAGAGAAAGCGAGGGAGTATTTGGCCCGTCTTGGAACCACCCCAAGCCACCTTGGTGAAATTTCTACTCCATGTTTTGACAAAGTCAATGCCACATAAATACACATAAGCGTACCTTGACTCCATATAAGCAAATTTTTGACTTTAACATAAATAATACACACACTTTATCAAAATAAATAAAAATAACACACAACATTAACGAACCTAAATATTACATAATATAATTGAAATCGACATAATTGAAATTATCTAAAGCCTTCAAAACCA